AAACAGTGTATATATATAAACAGTATATATATATATATATGAACTTATTTTCTGTTGTATTTGGAGCTGACACTTATATCTGGGTATATGCCTACAGATTTGATTGGAATAAACTATGACTTAGATCTCAATGGTAAATTTCCAACCCATGGGAATTTGGGCTGCTCTTTGACCCAGTTTATGTGCAGTTTTCTGCAGCCTGCTTCAGTACTTATTTTTTTCCTTTCAAACTGATATTTAACTCTTGATAGTCAAGAACTTAGAGTTAATTATTTCACTCTGAAGAATCAACTTTTAAATAAAATATTACATTATTCATTTAGGAATATGGATTTGGGACTGGGAGATAGCTCAGCGTTTAAGAACACTGACTTTACCAGAGGACCCAGGTTCAATTCCCAGTACCCACATGGTGGTTAGCAACTGTCCATAACTCCAGTTCCAGGTGTCCTCTTCTGACCTCCACAGCCATTGAATGACATGGGTGCACTTACATACATGCAAGCAATACACTCATACACATAAAATAAAAATAATAGATAAAATATTAACAAACAATATGGATTTAGCTGGCTTTGTATTTCATAAAGATTCATAGACTCATTCACACAAAAATGAGCTGCTTAATGCTCAGTCTTAATCTATAAATATAAAAATCTACCCACTAGGTAGGGCTAAGTGTCTGTCTAGTTCAATATTCTAATAGGCTACAAACTTACATTAATTTATAAAATAATTTTCCATGCAAAGTTGACATTAATGATACTTTTAATACACTTTTTGATAGAGGAAACTGAGGTTTACAGATTTGGTTTACTTGGGCAGCTCTAAAATACTACAGACTAGGTGATTTAACTAGAATTTCTTAAAGGTTTTCTACTTGGGACTCTTTTCACCCAAGAAATTTTATGAAACCCTGGGGTATATAAGTCCATAAATATGTATATATGTGAAATATTTATTGATAATAAATCATAGATTATTAAATATTTTTATTTTTATTTTATGTGTATGAATGTTTTGCCTGCAAGTATGTGACTGCACCACATGCATGCAATGCCCACAGAGGCCAAAAGAGGATGTCAGATCTCCAGAACTGGAGTTACGGATGGTTGTTAGCTACCATGTGGGTGCTGAGAACCAAACCTGGGTCCTCTGGAAGAAGAGCAAGTGTTCTTAACTGCTGAGCCATCTCTTCAGTCCCTTAAAAATATTCTTTAGTATACATATAATTTACCATTTATTTAATATTAAAGCAAATTTTCATGCTAGTAAGATCAGTATGCTTGCTTATTTTTACTTGATGGCTTGAACTTTAGCTGGATATTTGATACTGTAGGACACACGGTACAATATTTTCCAGAGTTGATTTATGATCAATAATACTGAGAATGCTCCTTTGCATAGATGTGTAATATAAAATGGCAGAGGATATTTAGGGCCATTTCAGAAACTGTTGGGACTTTTGTCTTAATCTCAAATCCGAATTATTTTAATGCTTTTAAATGAAATTTAATAATTCAAATAGTGATTTAAAATATATTTTTATTTTTATTTTATGTGTATGAGTGTATTGCCTGCATGTATGTGAGTGCACCCATGTTGTGCAGTGCTGCAGAGGTCAGAAGAGGGCTTCGGAGTCCCCTGGAACTGGATTTAAGAACGGTTCGTAGCCACCATGTGCGTTCTGGGGATCGAACCTGGGTCCTCTGCAAGAGCAGTCAGTGCTCTTAACTGCTGAGCTCTCTCTCCAGCCCCCTCCAATAGTGATTTTAAAACCAAACATACTAACCCAATACAATCCAAAGGTACAGTATTTTGATACATGCTGAGGAATGACCACAGGAAAATGTGTAAGAGCAGAAAACACTACATTGCAGTTCTTTACATAAAATAGTTTCATATCTGAGCCCAGATGTTGCTGACATTTCGAGGTATGATGGCCTATATGGTATAATGGTCTGCATGGTGCAAATCCTGCCTGTAGTGTGTGTGTTCAGAACCAAGACTGTGGTGAGGTCATGAAATGTATCATTGGTGAGGGCTCCCAGAAGCACCTCAGATTCATTACACATTTGATCTTGAATTAAGTTTTGGTTTTTACATATTAAGAAAACTTTCATTGTTGCCAATTTTTTAAATGACTTGATATTGGGTTATGTGACCTCCATTGTGTGGCCCACAATTTCAGAAGATGGGGCTTAAACAACAGAAATGTGTTGTCCTTCAGTTCCAGCAGCTTAAGGTCCAAGTTCTGGTGCCAGCATGGCTGGGTTCTGGTGAGGGTCCTATTTCTGTTGTGCAGAAAAAAGGCCACCTATTGCTGCGTGTATACCATGTGCTTATGTGGCCATTTTTTTGTGGGTCCTCATAGGAAGAGGGAACTCTGATGTTCCTTCCTCTAGGGCCTTGATACCTTCATGGAGGCCCCATTGTTTTCAGCTCAGCTAAACTTAATTACCTCATAAAGGTCCCACCTCCCAAATACCATCACTTTGGGGGTTAGAGCTTTGTTATAGGAATTTGTGTATGGGGGGGGTCACAGTATGATATGCATTAAACCACTTTTCTATGAATACTTAAATAATCTACTATTTGGGAAAACTCTGATTCCAAATACTGTTTTCCTTTTCCTAATAATTTGTCTGAATTGCTCTTATATATAGGCATTAAGATAATTAGCATTTTAAAAGGCAAGATGTTACTAGTTGCCATTAATTATCTCGGATATATTTCCCAAAACATGAATCCCCTTTAATGCTTATTTTTCATGTACGTTTACCCATATTTCTCAACTGTTTTAGTGAAGGCAAACAATATTAGGTCTCTCTCAAATTTCTCATAAAAACAAAACAAAACAATACTAGGCTCTTGGTGCTCTGGCAATTTTATTCTAACACAAGTTGCATCCATATTGTAATTCTGATAAGTATTTCAGTTCTTTCTTGAAAAATTAAATTCACAAAACAATTGATTATCAGTTATAAATGGCAAAAACACCATCTGGTTTTCAAAATTGGTTTAATCCATGTAGCAAGGGGAAAAAATGTTGGAAGTTGTACTTGGCGAAGAGTTCTAGTCCACAGAGCAGCAAATGACAAGCTTTACTATGAGAAAGCCAGCGTACTCATAACTTGTACTTAGTGGCTGTGGGAATTTGATGCGTTCCTCACATGTTCCATATGTTAAATCCCTTGGCGACATCCTCAGTGTGAAAGAGCTGGGGGTGGGAAGGGAGTGTGGCTAGAGAATAGAGCAACAGCTTCATACTGAATTCTCACCTCTGGCTCCCGTGCAGACCCTGGCACAAAATGTGTCAGGCCTCAGTTTCTACACCCAGTAAAACTGGAGGTACCAGGTTCCATAAATCCCAGGGTGCAGGTGACATTTCTGTGGAAATTTCTAAAGCTATTTTCTTTCCTCCAGTGAGGTAAGTCATATAGCATTAGCATTTCCTATAGAAATGTCCCATGTTGTTCTTTGCCAACTGGAAGTTTGAGTAGGTGTTCATTTGATGTGCCAAGAGAATGAAGGGAGATGAAAACACTGCACATCTTCCAGTGCCCCCATCCTGTGTTCTGAGTGTGGGAGGACCAGGGCCTGGCGAGAATCACTTCAAGATTCAGCCTCATGAGGAAAGCTTTGCCTTAGGAGTATGCTGCAATCCTGTTATTTTTCAAAAACGTTTCTGGGCTGCTGGCATATTTTCACCTTATGTTAAAAATATAGCTATCCTTTGCATTATAATGTAAAATGTATTCATTCACTCAACACATATTTATTGAGGCACAGTACAGAATAGTGGTTAGTTGCAAGGGCTCATCTGCAATTTAGAAATTGTGATTTTTAAAGCTGGTACTTAATCTTTCTAACCATGTTTAAGAGTAAAAAAAGGGGGGGGGATAATACTATATACTTTGAAGACTGTTCTAGTGATTAAAAAAGATCACATTTGTACAATACTTGATAAAAACTCAACAACACAAGACTGGAAGCAAAAAAAAAAAAATAGTGGATACTATTACGTGCCTGGCCCTGTGCCATCATTTCTGACATGCAGAACCTGACTTTGAGTATACACAGACACAGCCTCGATTATTTTTATTCTGATATTGGTTGGCTTCTGCTTTGTATCAGGTGTGATCTAGGAATCTTCACGGTCAGAGGTGTTAAGAATACACAGGACTGTGCACACTGGATCACGGGTGACCATGTGGTGGTGATTCTCTGCCTCCTGTACCGGGATTTGCCTGCTGGAGCTCCCTCCACTTCTGGAGGACTATCTATAGTTCCTGCATCTGGGCCTGTAATTACAGAGCAGAAGATCCAGGGATGTGGAGACAGGGCAGTCTGGAAAATTAGTTTATGCATAATGGGTAATAGGAGAAAGTTTCAAAGTGGAACTCATTTGGAGGGTTGGCAGATCTAACTTCCTTTTCGATATTTTATTTATTTATTTATTTGCAAGATGAGGACAGAGGGCTAGGGACGCCACTTGTTACAGTTGTTCTTGACTACAGCTCAGAGTCAGCAACTTACATTCAGTATCTCTTGGTCATTTAGCCACAGATAATTTGTCATGGTGTGTTTTAGCTGTTGTGATATTGATATTTATTATGCAAATTGTATTTCCTACATCTTATTGTTCTGCATTCTATGAATACTTAAATTATTATAAACCTTTACACTTACTACGGCTGGTTCGTCCTTCAATTTGATGCTTGAGCAACAGAGGGTCAGAACCCACACGATCTTCTAGAGGAGAAGAAAATAATTTAAAAGTAGACGAACAAGAGAGCCGGCTGCCTGGTTGAAAAGAAAGCAAAGATAATTTCAAGCAGTGAGAGCGTCCAGAGATAATTCAGGAAACCCTCTCCCAGACACATGGGAAGTTGGGAGAACCTGTTGGTCTGTAGCTGCCTTAGTAAGGGCTGAAGGCATAGGAGAGGGAGTGGGTTTGAGTCCTGGAGAAGTAACATGGGAGACTCTCTCTTACCTTTGCAGTGCTGTGTTCCCCACAGTCCTCTCCCCACAAACCTTGGCTGGGTAGATTCTGCTGTTGTTGTAGTGTGCATGTAATCCTAAATATATAATATCACATATATGCCATAATATATTAAATATATATTTTAAAACAGGAAGGACATTTTTAACAATCTGGGGAACATGATTATGACCCCCTCCTTGATTTACCTTTTCCCAGAATCTACAGCCAAAACATCCACTTGAAAATCCCAGAACCCAACTCCAAGGCTCCAGTCTCCCAACTATCCCCAAGTCCGCCGCTAGGTTGTTGCGCGGGCTCTCCGGCTCCTCCGGGCGTGCAACACGCATGCACTTCTCCCAGATTGTTTTGTCAATCCGGGAACCTGCGTTCTCACTCTCCACTCCCGCACAACCCGGTTTCTCAAAAATCTTATTCCTTCGTGCGAGGTGAGTGACGGAGATTTGCAACCTGGGATTTGAATAGGCCCGAGGCACACGCCGTACCGGGCGGAGGAACCTCCCAGGAAGTCTCCAGTCCTCCGTCTGCTGCAGTGATTGCAGTAAACGTTCTAATAAGGTGTACGGGAAGCTAGACCCGCCCTCTCGAGCCCAAGCCCCCTCCCCCTGCCTCCGAGACAAGCGCCAGGGAGAACACTTTTTCCTCCGTGGAGGGACGAGTGGGGAAAGCGTAGCCGAATTTTAACGTAAACATATTTGCATAGGCCCCGCCCCTCGGCCCCGCCCCTCGGTTGTGCGGGCGCGCCGCCGAACCCCAGCGCCAGCGGGCGGGGTGGGGGAGGGGGGGGTCGAGTGCTGCGGAGAGCCCGCTTGGGCTCGCGGCACCGCGATTGGTCGTTCTTGACTCCGCCTTCAACGCATCTCATTAGCATCTCATTAGCTGTCCGCTCGGGCTCGGGAAGCAGCCACCACAGCCAGTCTGAGGCAGGTGCCCGACATGGCGAGTGCTGTGCTGCCGAGCGGATCTCAGTGTGCGGCGGCAGCGGCTGTGGCGGCGGCGGCGGCGCCTCCCGGGCTCCGGCTCCGGCTCCTGCTGTTGGTCCTCTCGGCCGCGGCACTGATCCCCACAGGTAGGTTGTGGGCACCGGCGGCTTGGTCCGGAAATCTCCCCGGGGCACCCCAGGAGCCGTAGCTGGGGGGGGGTACGTTTCCATGACAACCCCCCCCCCCCCAGTTCCTAAATCCGAAGCGGCGGGAGCGTGGAAAGTCAGGGCTGGGATGGAAGGGGCCGAAGCCCCCTTCCCCGCTTCCCTCCGGCTGCGGATGGGAGCCTTCGGAGATGGCTGCACCCACACCTTTCCTCCCTGGCGTGGCGCAGGGTACCGAGAGGAGTGGGCTCGGGGCCGGGGACCGGAGCCTGGGGGAAGGGGAGCCATCCGAGGCGCTCCCGAACCTTCCAGACCCTTCTAAACTCGCTGTTGTGCCCGGAACTTGCAGGTCCTCCCGTCTCCCCGGGCGGTTCGACCCCTCCGCCGCAGCTCATCCCCCCCAGTTCTCCGTCCCCCGAAGCCGCGAGTGGCTGCTCGCGGGTTCCCAGGACATCCCCACACTTGTCCGCTGCGCCCCGCTTCCCGCGCGTCCCCGCCGCACGCCGCTCCTGTTTCCTTCTGCCCATTCGCAACCCCTCTGCCCCCTCCGCTCGGCTGCGGGTCGGCCTGGCCCGGCTCCAGCCAGGGAAAGTTCCCGAGCTCGGCCCCGCGCCGGGGGCGGCCGCTTGTCGCCGCCTCTGCGGGAAAGGCGCCCGCAGCTGTCCGCGCCACAGAGGCCGCCGCCACGAGTGGGGATCCGGGATTTCTTGGCTGCCGGTCCTCCGGGCAGGTGGTGGCGGGGCGTCCGCGGCCTCTGCGGCTCAGCGGGCTCCCTGCGTCCCCCGCATGGCCGGCGGCTTGGGAATTTGCCCGGGGGCGGCTCGGTGAGCCGGGCGCCTTCCCCGTAGACGCCGAGCGCTCGGCAGGAGCCCCGAGCGTGGCTGCCCTGTGCCGGGCGCGTTGGCGCGGTCGGAAAAGAAGAGGGCAGTGTTTGCATTTGCTAACAAAAGGGAGCCCGAGCTCTTCCCCAGCGGAGAGGCCGGTCGTGCTGCACCCCGCCTGCCTTCCCGCCACCTCGCCGTTTTCGCCGGTCGCGCGGCGTCCCCGCTTCCCCGGACAGCCTGCTACGGGCTCCAGGTGGCCGGCCCATCGAGTGGAGAGGGGCAGCAGGGGGCGGGCGGCTGTGCAGGAGGGGATGCGGTAGGGCTCTGCGTGTGCAAAGCTCCTGCTTGCAGCTCGGAGCTGCAGGACCTGGGAGCAACAAGTGGCGGAGGAAGGGAGAGCTCAGTTCCCTCACCTGCGGAGCCCCCAGTCCGGGCGGATGCTTCGCGGGGGCCAGCGTGCCGCCCCGGGGGGCGCCTCTCTGCTTGGGTTGTGTCTTTTGTTTACACGCTAGAGGACACAAACACACAGTTATGTAAACACCGCAGGAGACATGCTGTTGGAGATAGGGATGCTCGGGAGAATTTGAGGGATGCCGGGTTGGTTGCCCCCCCCCCCCATACAGGCTTGCAGAAGAGCTCGGCTTGGGGAACCCATTGGAGCTTAAGGGTGAGAGTCAGGCAGCACCTTCCATTCCAGCTTGAGAATTTTTTATTTTCTTCCATACCACTGTTTGTCTCCGGATGTTTATATGTTTTTCCTCTGTGAATTCTTAATTTATGAGTTACGAGATAATTGGGTTCAGCGGAAGCAGGTGTGGTTACAACTTCATTTCGGGTGATGCCACTGACTGGAGGGGTTCGATAAAATGTTCCCGAAAGAGATTCCTCGTGCTGCATTGTAAAAAGCGCCAGTGTCAGTTAACGTGAGCGTGAGTAAAGGCTGGGTAACTGGCGCATAATAGAGGCAACAATAGACTTGTATTGGCTGCAGAAAAGAGAGGTGGGGATGGGAAGCGCTGGTTGGGGGGTATTGCCTTTACGCTAAAAATGGGAGCCGTGCAATGCCGCTTAAGCCAGCAGAATGGGATTAGATTTTTGCCTCCAGAGTCAAGCCTGCTCATCGAAAGCACCGGATAGTAACGACAGTACTATATTTGTAACTATCTCGCGGTGAGAAGTTGCCTTCCCGGGGAGGGCTATGTGCTGACTTAGAAAGGAGCGGTCTGGAACTCAACCGTGCATGTCAGAGCTACAGGAAAATTCTGTTGCCAGTTACCATGGAAGCAGCTTCATACTCTTGTGTACATCCCTGTTTGTAGGCTGTTTATCAGATTGTGTTCAAATTAGAAAGTAATTGGGTTTGATTTGTAGTGAGGGGATGAGATGACTTTAATTTTTTTTCAGTGCATGGAGCGTGTGTGTGTGTGTGTGTGTGTGTGTGTGTGTGAGGGTTTTGACCAAGCTCTCCATCGGTACTGCAGGGGTGAATTTCAGGTGGACACCTATGGACTTTCCTTCCTAGGCGGCTTAGTTTCAGCCTTCTGGGGCCCCTTAGATTAGCATTTGCAGGCTAACGAAACCTGTTGGTGACCTTCTAACTTCATTAGGCTTGTTGAATCCTTGCTGGAAAACCGAGTCTGGCCATTCATTGTGTGTTGGGTCCTGGTTCTGTTTGCCCCTGTTACTGAAGGCCCCCCCCCCAATTGGATGAAATGCACATTCACGAAATGCAGTCAAACTGGGATTGCCTCCATTCTGGTAATCACTCCTGTTCCCTTTAGGCATGCTGCTGTTTGGATTCCAAAAGAACCAGTGGCAGATCACCCTGCTCTTACCTTTTTCAGGATTAGAGAAGATGGCTGATGGGTGGGGGATTTGTGGTGGTGGCAGCTAGCTGGGTGCTGAGGGCTGAATTTTGCTTGCTGCAGCCTGTTGGGGCTCGCATAGCAGGGACAGGGACTTTGCAAAAGTGCCGCCCTGCTATTGTTGCCTTTCTCGGCATCAAATTGAATAGCCGCAGGAGGGACTTGCACTCGCCTGCGATAGCTTTGATAAAATATCCCTCATTAATGCCACTTTATATTTACAGTGTGTCACTGGAGACGCACAAGGCTTCATTTAGTGACTTGTGTGACGAGACAAGCTTGCATTATTTGCCCGGGACATTTTGGAGGAACAAGAAACCCATTGAGCAATCCTTTGAAATGAACAGATATGAAAAAGGGGGGAAATAAAAGAGCAGGCAGTTCTCTGGAACAAAGAGCTTTATTCATATGGATGTTGTACATGTTTACCCAGTTTTCCCCAGTGGCCCTCCTGGTACAGGGGAGTGGGACAGGGGAGCCAACGACAGGCAGGACACTTGCTTCCCCTCACTTCCTGACTGCACAGTCTTATCAGAGCCATCTCCTCTCTCTGCCTCCTCCTCTCTCTTCCCTTAAAACCCCAGAAGGTAACAAGCTCTCCTGGGTTTCAGAGGGAGATTTTGAAATCTTTTCTGCCCACATTGACTCTCATCGGAAGAAAGTGCTAGCTAGCTACCTGTTGAGACTGATCAGCCTCAGACCATGAATTGGATGAAGGGAAAAAGATGTCATCTTTCTCTGACATGTTTCAAGAAGTGGTTGGTAGAGAATGTCAGAGTGGGAAGATGTCTTCCCATGATCACATTTGCCTTACTGTGCTTATTTTACAGATCGTTAAAACAAAAATCCAAAATTTTCATTATTCTTCATTGTGCTCTTGAATTGTATTTTTAAACTTTGTGTCATACTTGGTACATTTCAGCCTCTAACAAGTGAATTTTTTTATTGTTTCTTCAATAAGCAAGTATTCTTAAATCATTTGTAGGCTTTAAAATTGATAATATTGCTAGGAAGAGAAACTGGCTCTTTTTGGGTTTGTATATGATGTTTTAATTATAATTGGCCACTTAGAATTTTTATTCTATTTTTTAAGTTTTTTTTAGATTTTTGTGTATGTGCCTAGTAGCCTGTTTTGTGTGTGTGTGTGTGTGTGTGTGTGTGTGTAACCAAAAGGCCATTTTTATGTGAGGATATATATAAGAAGGGGCCAAACTCATCAGTAGTGTGATATGAATGGAAAGTGACCCGTTTACAAAGAAAATGTAAAAGAAATAAATCAAAAAGATTAACATGCTATGTACCATTTTTTTTGGAAGACCACGACTGACCATTATGCTGGGCATTTTTAACAAAATCCAGCATCGAAAGGAGAAACCACACAGCGACATCTGTTGCAGAACTGAAAATTTGCTGCTTTGAGTTGGAAGCAATTAGTCTCATGTAAGCACCTAATGGTATCAGCGTGTGTACTGATACATATATACTTAGGTTAGCATATTTATACACAATAGAAAGATACCCCCCTATAGCATCCATGTTCAAATTAAACTATGTACTAGAATATGTACCATTTTAGCACCAAAGCTTTTAAAAATAATATTAGCGACGCCTATAATCATGGAGTTTTTGAAAGGGAAAGGTAAGGGCAATCATTATTTTGAAGTGGGGCCACTGAAGCCCAGCTGAACTGAGGCTGAGTTAGCTGCAGATCTTGGGTGGGGACAGGTCCCTTGCTGTCTAGTCAGTGGAATGCCCAGTCTCCTGGCTGGAATGCTCAGTCAGACATAGAAATCGTGGAAGGATGCTATCTTGTCTAAAACCATTTTGTATTCTGAGGCAGTGGGATTAATTGTTTGCTCTAGGTAATAAACCCATGGATCAGAAGGAGTGACCTCTGGGAAGAAAGGACCAGTTCTTGGTACTGTTGTCTTTGGTGTTGACAAATGATTCTGCAACCTCTGGACTTTATTTGGCAGCTACCACATGAATGCCATCCAAAGCATCTTCATATGGGAGGCCACTGACTTGTGCTGTTGTAATAAGTCAGATGGGGGAAAACTGGCTTCAGAAAACTCATGCTTTGTTATTTAAGATTTTCATTTGTCTTTTCAAGGATTCCTTTTACTAGTAGAACTGGTTCCACATAATCACAGAGAAAAGGAGGCAGTCTTAAGTCTAGAACGAGAGCTTGGTATTCTTAGCAGGGTCTTGTCCTTTGTTATTTGCAGAGAAAAAGCTGAAGAGAAAATTTTGCTTTTTTTAAAAGAATTTTTTTTTTCATGCTGACTTTTAT